CCCCTCCCCCACCCTCTCTCTCAAAAATAAACAAACATTAAAAATAAATAAATAAATAAATAAATAAATAAATAAATAAATAAAATATTTACAGTATCTGCAACAGTCCAGATCTGCTTAAACTTCATGAAGGCCACTGGGAGAAATGTTGAGACAGATTTTTGTTACTGTTTTGGGGTCTTTCCCCCCTGCCCCCTTCAGCATTGAGAGATGTTGCTAAGTTGTGCTACGTTGGTGATGAATCTTCTTCACCTTCTTCACTTTTGGTAGGATCATAGGCACCGTGAGGAATGAGGCAGGTTGTAAAAACTAGGAAGAGCCAGAATAGGCCTGATGGGGCAACATACGGCTTTGCAACATATAGTATTGGAGATTTGTAGCAATTCTTTTTCTTTGCTTGAGAAGAAAGGCCACAAACAGCAGCATGGATAACCACTATTAAATACTCAGTTCACTTGTGATGCTACCAGTCAAGAGGAGTTATCTTTTGGAACGGAGAACACAAAATTGTTCAACATTGTGAAGCATCATAAGTAAAGGAGCTGTAACCGAACAGAGAATCAAAGTCTAGTCCTACTTATGCCGACAGATGCCTGGCTATAAGTGTATTCTATCCTATTACCTGCACTTGACACATGTTTATTTCTAAAGTAATTAGGGCCACTACAGTATAATCTTCTGAAATTAAATTTGATGTTTATATAGGGTTTATTAGAACATAGCCCCATAAATCATTTTATGCGAGCATTTGATTTGCTTAAGCTGCTTGTTACTATTTCTGACACTGATAATTCCTTGTTTGTTCTAAATTTCAATTGTAAGTAACTAAGCAGGTATGAAAATCCACATTGAAGAGCTTAACGGAGTCAGTGGGTCTGGCAGAATGGGAAAATGGGTCTTGTCCCAGATTTGTGCTGTCATCTTGCCCAGGTGGTTTAAGAGCAGCACTTCTCAGAGCATCAGTGTTGCCATCTGTAAAATGGAGTAATGCTGAAAATGACATCATCAGTTAGGCAAAGTTAAGTAGAGCCTGTGGAAGTATATATGAAAAAGAGTATTAATATCACAATATTGATACTGTTCTGAGCTTACATATGGGAGATTAAAAAAAATGAGAAGCACATCATCACTCTTTTTGGAGAGCTCGCATGTTATTAAAAGAAGCACACAAGTAAATTAGCAATTAAAGTAGACTAAAACAATTGAAATCATGTGTCATCTAAACAGCATACAGCAAGGAAGCATTCACTTATCTGGTAAGGTGGATGATTGTTGGAAATTTTTCAGGTGGAGGTGACGTTTGAATTGATGTTTGCGGTCCAGGTAAGTAGGGAGGGCAAGACAGAAAAGACACTCCACATTTAGGGGCAAATATGCAAAAGCATGGAAGAAAGGCTGTGTTGTCTGGGAACATAGAAATAAAATAATTCACGAGTCCCAGAGCTCAGGGAAGGACAGGTGAGGCTGACAGGAGTGGTCTTGGTGAGTAATGTATGCAAACAAAGGGAATTGAATATTAGCCTGTAGGAGAGAGGGAGCTAGTGAAGGCATTTAGGCAGAAGACAATCAAACAGGCATTTATGGAAGTCCCTTTGGTGGGAATGGACTTACTAAATGGATCAGACTCCCCCAAGGCTAGAGGCAGTGAGATCCTCTGCATGCAGCAAAGCTTAAAAGTAGGCAGAAGAAAACAGAACCCTGAAAAGAGGCAGAGAAAGTACGAGAGAGGTAACAGGAGGTCCAGTAAAGAGTCTTGTCACAGAGAATAAAGGAGTAGGGAGTTTCCTGGAAGGAATGGTCAATACTATTAGATACCTCAGTATCTGATAAGATCAAGACAGATAAGGATTAAGGACCATCCTTTGGATTCGACAATCCCGGAAGCCACGATTCTCTTCACTGTGCAGTCAGTTAAGATGTGGGGGCAGAAGCAACGTGTAGTGGGTCAGACAGTGACTAGGAAGTTGGAAATGAAGACATCACGTGGAAACTTACCAGAAAGCTCAGAGGTAAGGCAAAGATAGGAGAACAAAGTAGCCTGGGATGGAAGGAGCAGAGTTTTGCTTTGTACGAGAGTGGGAGAGGCTTGGGGATAAGGACCATTATACAGTAAGTTGGAGAGAGAGGCGAGTGATGTGATGTCTGATAGGAGCTTCTGCATAGTGGTAACGGGAATTAGGATATATGGGGAGGAGTTGACTTTGGACAGAGGGACTTCTTTCTGTGATGAGGAAAGTGGAGAAAAGGGTAAATATAGGCTGGAGTAAATAAGCCGGTGGAGGTGCTGAGAGAGAAAACCATGTCTGATGACATGCTAGATGCCATCCGTAGAATGATGAGGACAGAGATGAGTGGCACGTTTGATAATATTAGGAGGAACAGGAAATGCCGCTGACCAAAACCAAAAAGCAAAAGGATCAATTGACTGCAACTGACCTAATGTCACCCATTCCTGAGATGAAAAGAGTTCTTCCAGAAGGAGCTCAGTGGCTCTGCCCTGATTCTGAAGGAAGATTATACACTTCAACCAAGGCTGGGGTTTTGTAGGGCAAGCACTGGGTGGGGAGGGAGGGAGGAACTGAGAGTAGTTTGGTTTATAGCAGGTTAATTTGCTTTTAGGTTAAACAGTAGGGGTTTGGTTTATGGAGATGGGGATGGGTGTTTTCTTTCCTTTTTTCTTTTTCTTGAGACTTAGCACAAACTAAGGTAAGGCATGGAATTTAAATCTCTGTAATCAAGGATGTAAATGCTTATGGCCATGAAATCTTAACCCCATGCCTGAAACTGTTGTTCAGTTTGACCACTGGCCTTCTTGGAGAATTACAGCTTGCTGATTAGTTATTGAAATGATATGAGGGAGGGGGTGGGCAGAAATTTAATCCCTATGTTAGTCACATTCAGTATAACTCTGCTTCATGTTGGATCCACTACGCATGCGTGGATTTATTAAAGAATCTGCGAGAAGGGTTCGTACCTAAATGACCTTATATGCCAGGCGGAAAAACATTTCTTTCACTGTTTTCCAGCGTTAGCTAATTGTTTAAAAACTATACTGACTGGTAGCTCTTTCTGGTTGAAATAGTCAGCTCACAGTCAAGTGAATTTGGGCATTCTGCCAGGCATTCATACCAAGGATGTTTAGAGGAAAACTCTTAAATGTAATTTGTAGGGCTGGGGGGCGGGGTATGCCAGAACTTCAACAATATGCCAAACTGTTCTCTAGAACAGTGGCAGAAAGGGTCAGAGTACTGTTTTGATGCCCGCCTTTGTAATTTTTGTCCCAGCAACTCCAAGTTTTGGAAGCAGGCAGTAGAGGCACACACAGGAGTTTGTGGGAATGGAACTGGGTCAGTCAAATTATAAAAGCCTTGATGGATTTTGCTTTACAAAGAACTGTTGGTGGGACAAGTACTAGACTGGAGTCAGGAAATCCAGATTCTAGTCTAAGCAAATCACACCAAAGATCTGGGCCTCAGGATCTTCATCAGAAAAACAAGAACACGGTACCACTGGCAGGACCCGGGAAGGCAAAATGGTTACAGCTGAATCCTGACTCCTTTTGTCTGCTTTATGTTACAGGGATTCCCAGTGAGGTTTTAATGAATAGATTCTGATGCTAAAATAGGTTTAAAACTTCTAGCTAGATGTTTCTGAAGGTCCTTTCTATTCTAATTCTATTCTTAATTATAATTCTAATTCTCTAAATGAGAATAACCAGTCGAGTTACATTTAACTTCCTTTTCTTATGAGTCTTATGGTTTCTATGGATATCCAGCACATTTTTGTTAACTTTCCACAATATTTGAAACTGCTTCATGTCAACCACATGAATCAGGATTTCTTAGCTGGAGTCCATGGATGGATTTCTGGGAGTCTGTGAACCCCCTAAACACACATGCAAAATTTTGTGGATACAGACATCTGAAAAGAGAGTCCAGAATTTCCATCAGATTCTCAACAGGTGAATGAAAGCAGTAAGTATATGTCATCTTCCACTTGATGGGAGTCAAACAAACCCCAGATCTCAAACTGACACAGCAAGAGGAATTCAAATAGATTTTACAGGCTCTGCAATGTAAGTGACTCCCCAAATCTCCTCACCCAACTATCTGTCCTTCCCAAGACTACACTGCCAGTATGTATTCTTAACATCACCGGCATGGAACAGAGTCAGCAGGATCTCTGATTATGGAGCAACATCTCCCCTTTATCTTACATTTTCTGATATTTGAAAAAAGCCAAGATAAACGTCTTTGGCTCTTCATGCCAGACGTCTACAGCTCTGACATGTTTTTATTGATAAAAAGAACCATACATTCTTCACTTTTTCAATATGTAGCCTGTTACCTGGAAATCTAGATGTGACATAGGCCTGAAGGTAAGTTTTTTTTTTTTTTAAAGATGTATTCTAAAGTAATTAGAAAGAATAAGAGTAAAGGAAAATATAAATGTTTGGCCATTCAACAACATCTTGCCTGGAAGGGCTCAGTGACTGGAGAAGACTTCAGTTTTTCTGAGTGCATTTCCTTTCCATTTCGCATTGAGCATTTGTGTGATTATTAACAATTATTTTCAAGAGAGACATTTCCATGGTCTTTTGAGTCCTCGTTCAGAGGGGAATAACTTGGTGGGAAGAATGAAGCACTTATCGGAGACAGTGGGCAGAAAACGGGGGAAGTGATGAGGCTGTAATGGAACATCAGATGTCAGACAGAAGCCTCTATACACATCCAGCCAAACAAGGGATTATACATAAACCCGGATTCCCATAGCAGGGCAAAGCTGGGTCCTGGGGATGTGAACCCATGATCCACTTGCATGGGAAAAACAAAGCTTCTTTCATATACTGTATGCTAACTCAGGCACTGTGCACCAAGTAGGAAAACAATGGGGCATAAAAAAACAAGAAAGAAAACAGTAACAGTGCTAAAAATGAAAGTTGGTTTAAGATACTGTAAGAATTCTCAGAATTTAATCCTTTTGCTCTTCTTTCATTTCAGATGCTGCACAACAAACATGTCATGGTCCGTGTGGGAGGAGGATGGGAAACTTTTGCAGGGTATTTGTTGAAACACGACCCCTGCCGGATGCTGCAGATCTCCCGTGTGGATGGCAAAACATCCCCCATCCAGAGCAAATCTCCAACTCTTAAGGACATGAATCCAGATAATTACTTGGTCGTCTCTGCCAATTATAAGGCTAAGAAGGAGATTAAGTAAAACTAGTTGGTCACTACAAGGGGACTCTCCTAATGGCCTGTACCCATTTCTCCAGTGTAGTTAGTTTAGTTCACATGCTCTGACAATTACTTTGGAAAAAGGCGTAACAGCCAGAAAAATGTCATTATTATTGAAAAATGTTCAAAGAGTAGCACTATTTATTTTGATGCTTCTGTAGAACATGACCAATTAAAAGAAATTCTAGGCTCAGATTTAAACTAGAAAAATTGTAGGCAAATTATTATTTCTTGATATGTGAACACAGGATTTAGTACACAGTACTAGAAGTACAATTCTAGCTAGAGATAAAAACTATTAGAAGAAAATACTTAGGATTTATAGATAAGTCAACAGAAAGTGCCTGCTTTATGTCTACAAAGTAAAAGCACCCCAGACATTTTTATAATTGCAGGATTTTTAAGCTAATTTTTAAAAAGTGACAATTAGTGTGATAACGTGCTACTAAAAATATTCAACAGCACTACAAATAAGTACACAGTGTTCATAACCGTAACACTTTACTAGAAAGGCCACTTCAGAAAAGTTTACATTCACTTGGAAGATTGCCTTAAAGTTTATTCCTTATCTATGACCAAATATCTGGGGTACTTTTGGAAGTTTTCAGTACACCCCTTAGAGAATTGCTTATGAAGTGTTTCACACATTCCTAAGCACATGGCTGTGTTGAGACCGACTTAGTGTATTTCACACACATAAGCTGACATACGTTTATATTTTGACAGAATAAATTGTACAGTCCAATGTTCATTGACTTCATGTTATTTTAAAGCATTTTCTTATGAAAATATACCTTTAGTTAATCCTACTTTGCTATGCTGTCTAGTAAAGTAAATTCACTGTAGCTGATGTTACAGACGTATGTATACCCTTGTATACCTAGGACAGGGCTGTTGTGTACCCATAAACAGCAAACTATTGTCCTCACTGATTCAAGAATTAAAAAGATAAATTAAAAAAAATTATGTCTCTATATTAGTGCTTCATTCTGAAATAAAAATAATCTTCAAATGGCAACTTTCCCTCAGAGTTCTAGAAAGAGTCGCATTAGGGTTCCCTAGTGCTTCTTCACTTTTGAGTGTTAGCATTGTTTGCTCCCCTTAGCAGAAAAACAAAATATTATCATAGGTAATCCCTTAACTGCCACCTTGAGTTTAATAAGTATAGGCAGAGTTAATTTGTCACTCCCTCATTCTTCTACGATAAAAAAATCCACCTCTCCTGCTCCAGAAAGTCAGGAAATATCTCAATTTGTCACATGACTGATTTAGTCAAAGTACACACAACCTGTTCATTGTGAAGTTTAGTGGTACTAGAAATGGGGTTGTAATTATGCTGGGAAAAAACAATTAAAATTAAAGTTTTATCAGAGATAAAATCACCTTGGAACAGTAATAATTGTAATATCTTTTAAAATACAGACATTGAGTGATTTGACTTTTATGTTACTAAACTAATGTTAGCACTGAATTTCTCTATATAGTAATTGGCAATAGTATTTTCCTCAAAACTTTCTCCTGTGCTTAATTTCTTCCCACAAACGTATCTATGTCCTTAAAAATTAAAATTAATTTCATTTAGTTAAAATATGTATAGGTAAACAAAAATCATATTAATCCCTTCATCTATTTTATTGGATGTTCTATGCTAATGTACTAAATTACCAGAAGTGTAGTGGCTTAAACAACACAAATTTATTATGTTATTGTTCTATGGGCCAGAAATTTGAGATGGTCTCACTGGGCTAACATAAAGATGTCAGCAGGGCTGTGCTTCTTTTGAGGAGTCTAGGAGAGAATTTGTTTCCCTGCTTTTTCCACGTTCTAGAGGCTGATTTCCTTTGCTCATGTTCTCTTTCCTCTATCTTCAAAGCCAGCAATAGAGTATCTCAATGAGACTTCTTTCTTTACATCTCTCTGACCACAGGTAGAAAGATTTTCTGCTTTTAAGAACCTATGCGAGGGGCGCTGGGGTGGCTCAGTTGGTTAAGTGTTTGGCCAAAGTCGTTTGGCTCAGGTCATGATCTCAGGGTTCATGAGTTCAAGCCCCATGTTGGGCTCTGTGCTGACAGCTCAGAGCCTGGAGCCTGCTTCAGATTCTGTGTCTCCCTCTCCCTGCCCCTCCCTTGCTTGCTCTCTCTCAAAAACAAATATTAAAAAACATAATTAAAAAAAAAATAATCCATGTGATCAGAATGGGTCCACCTAGATAACGTAATGCAATCTCTCCATTTTAAGGTCATTAGATGAATCACATCTGCAAAATACCTTTTGCCATGTAACGTATTTCCAGGGTCCAGTGATTAGTATGTGAACATATTTGGGGTAGGGTGGCATCATTCTTTCTGCTTATACAACATCTATGATGGTCTTTTAGGTGTTGCTAAGAACGTGGTCACAATTGACCTTGAGGTCTAGCTGCTAGCTGAATGGAATTCAACAAGGATATGGAAAAACGAGACTACATTCAGAAGGAAATGACCAAATGTAGATTGCTCTTACTCATTGACTCCTTAGTGAAAATTACTATGTTCTTTTTCCTAAATTGTTTTCACTATTATAAATCTTGCATTTCCATGTAAACTTTAGGGTCATTTTGTCAATTTCTCTGAAAAAGTTTGCTGGGATTTTGCACTGAATCTATTGATCAATTTCAGAATGCAATTTTGACAATACTGAGTCTTCTAAACCATGAACATGCAATGGTCCCAAACATTTAGGGTTTTTTTTTTTTTTTTTTAACTTCTCAACTATGTCTTGTAGCTTTTAGTTCAGATCTTTTACTTCTTTTATTTTTTCCTATTTTATTCTATGTGATGATGCTGTAATTGAATTTTCTTAATTTTAGATTACTTATTACTTGCCTGTAGAAATAGCATTGACATTTTCATATATGGACTTGGTATTCTGCAGCATTGCTAAACTCATTAGTTCTACAAACTTGTGTGTAGATACTTAAGAATTATCTACATGAGACACTTGGTATTTTTTTTAACCTACTTTAAGTATGTCTGTTACTAATAACCTACCTGAGAAATGTAGGATAAGAAAAGGGCACCCTAGGAATTAGGTAGAATAGGAAGTTTAGGATAACTCCTTGACTTCTGACTGATGTAAGAAAAACAGATTTCAGAGAAATAGGCTAGAAAGAGTTTGTATGCAAAACTACTTAGTTCCATTTGAGGTTAAGTTTGAAGTACTTGCAAAAGTTGGCTCAAACCTGTGACTACAGGACATTGATTTGAAACCCAAACCAAGTATGGTGCTATAAAAATAGGCAATGCATGGAGCCTGGGTGAATCATGACATCAGCTCAGGTCATGATCTCACGGTTCATGAATTCGAGCCCTGCAGCAGGTTCCGTGCTGACAGTGTGGAACCTGCTTGGGATTCTCTCTCTCCCTATCTCTCTCTGTACCTCTCCAACTCGTGCATGTCTCCCCTGGACCCCACCTCAAAATAAATAAACTTAAAAAAAATAGGCAATGCAATCTGGGCTATAATAAAAGTATCATGTTCAGGTCAGACCATAATAGTCATATTTAGAGGTAATATTTGCAAGATGAAACATATCTGGAAGAATAGAAAAACAAAAAGCCATGTCATATGAGAAATTTTAACTGAGTTTTCAAAACAAACTTCTCTGAATCAAACCAAAACTTGTTCAAAGTCTATGAAATACACAGATGCCTTCCTAGTGGCTTTTGAGAAAATCAAAGAAAATGGCTATGGTGTCACAGTTGAATCAGCTTAGAGCACATGTAGTAGGGGAATTTGAGATGCTTGTTTGGAAGTGTTAAAAACAAAACAAAATAACCACACACACCTTAAATGTCAACGCAGATAGGTGTGCCTACCTACCTCTCTCTTACTAACCTATTTATGCAGATATTATTCAAACCTAAAACTGACAAGTTACTTTTTCTTCTAAGGGTGTACTATAATTCCTAGTGAAGATTTACAAATCGGACTGTTGGAAAAAAAACCTCAAAGCTTACGTCAATTCTCCTGGGGTACAAAGGATGATAGCTAGAACTTTTACATTATTGTATTTCTCTAAGGCAACAGGAGACTATTACCATTTCTCCTTTAGAGTATAGAAAAAGAAACATGCCTATCTGTAAATTCAGGGATTGTATGAACATACCAAATAGCCTTTAGCTCTGTTGTTCTCATTCATGCCAGAGATAAGAGCGTCATGGTTTCCCTAACCATTCACCCAAGTTCTAATTATTCAATATGCCGTGAAGATACAATTTTGTTAAAGAGATGGCCAAACTCAATTTTTATATAAGAAAAATGTATATTATGTCCCCATAAGGCAATACAGAATTTATAACAAACTATGTATGTGAAAACTATTAATTACATTCCAAATACAATTGGTGAACCATAGTATCACATATAGATGTTTTAAAAAACATGCAGCATGTTAACAAAGGGGCTATATGATAATATACAACTTTTTGTTACCAGTCATATTGTCTGATGATTAAAATTAAGAAGCAGTGGTTTTAGCATTTTACATCTTAATATGATAGTTATATAAAAGTATTTCACTGTTTCAGTTATATTTTAGTCATTTGTTGGAGGGTTTGGGTGACATATTAAGCATTACCATGTTTTCCTACTTGAATTATGATTTATGGGAAATTGGCTCCAAGTTAAGTTTTCATCAGGAACTGATTCATAACTTGATGAGAGAGAGATTGGATATATATGTGCTTTTTTTAGTAGTCACTTAATGGTTTCCTATCAGGCATCTAGTCTCCTCTTTTCCCTTCCCCTTCCTAAAACTATTCTTAACATTTGAGTATCACCCCTTAGCCCATGCAACCCATATCTTTTTGCAGAAAGCTGATTATACCCATGGAAGCAGGCCATGCATGATTGGCTGGAGCAGGATATCCCATTGTTCCCAGAAAGCAATACACCAGCATATCATTCATGGTTACACCAACTCAAGTTGTAATTCTTAAGACGTAGTACAGATAAAATTGTTCTTTCTATATTAAAGCAGAAGGAAGGATTTACACAGTTCAAGGTTAGTACATTCTGGCTTTATATCTATTCACCTACTGATGATGTTTTTCTTCCTTTCTGCCTTGGAGAAATTAATCATGTTCATAAAGTCAAAAATTTTATTTCTAAAATAAAATTCAATGATTTCACTATCCTTTATCAACAAAAATACCACTGACCTTCTAAAGGATGAAGAAAAACTGAGCCTGTCTAAATATATGTCTTGCCTGGATATTCATAAACTATTTTATGCCATAATAGAAAAAATAATTTTTCCAATGAAGAGTCAAGAGACCTATAATATAGTTCAAACTCTAAAATTATCATATATGATATACTGCTATGTAATACAGGTCTTGTGGGAGGGATGAGCACAATGATGGCTCAGTTTTCTTTTTGTAAATCAAATAAGCTGGTCTAATTTATAGTCTCCATTGGCACTTAACTGTCTTACAAATTCTAATTTAGGGCTCAGATTGTGGCCTTGTCATCCAAAAGAGTTAGCAACCAAATTAAAAGATACAGGAATTCTCCTATTTTAGCTTATTATATACTAAAAAGGAAAATTCAAAAAACAAAAATGCTATAATGTTACTAATGCTCATGTTACTAATGAACAAAAACTAGAAAAGTTTATGACTATGCATCACATAGAGTTACCTCATAGTATGTTTATGTTTAAAGTAGACCTTTTAAATACAGTACCTACATGTTTCTATTTCATACATTCACATTTGCCTTGGCAATTTCGCATGTGTATAAATCTTGAGATCATTCTTTAATAAATACAAAAGAATAAAAACACCTATGAAATTTGGACAAATCTATTATCACTCAGTATAGCCCATCAGATTCTTAGTTTAACTCATTCAGTTACTACAAATATCTTTAGAGCTGAGTCTGACATCGTGTAATAGATCACTGCCCTCTGATGGTACTATTAATATATAATTTTAAATTCAGCAAGCAAAAAAACACTTTTATTGCAATGTAAAACCCTACATGTTAATTTTATAAGCCACAGAAATAGAAAATAAATTAGGAGAAATTCAACAGTTTCTACAAATTTTCATTACTCATTCATTGGTAAGATACAAAAATTTACAGTGTCCCTTCACATAAGCCCTTCAAATGATTTTTCAACATTTTCCCTGATGATCAGTTTAAAGGCACAAAGTCCATACTTTTAAGCAAAAGCCTTCATAGATAATGAAATAAAAACAGATACAAGGCTAAGCAGAAAAATATAGATTGCTAGGTCATCGTATAAAGGAGATAAAATACAATGGCAAACTTTAATGTCTGAGGTGTATGCAGACTTTTTGCATGCGACATATATATATATATATATTCACTATTTAGGTCCATGTTTTAATTACTAAAAAATGGCAAATCACCCACTACCTGCACAAAAGCAAATGTAAGAAAATAAGTATTTGCTGAAGGGTCTGGCCATTTTCTAAGTTTGAACATCAAAAACAGTTTCGGTCTATCAACAGTTTCTGGAAAAGCACTGACTGCATTTAATGGCACTACAATTACAATAAATTATTTAATTTATTCAAAGAGAAGACATTAGGCTGCGGACGTCCACTTGATTGCAGATATTAGTTACTGGCAGTAGACTTTTCTACTCACGTTACGCTTATGAAACTGTCCACTAGAAAAGATAAGAACACATGGAGACAAGTAAATTTTATTTAAAGTCAATGTAAAAATATCCTAGTGAACAAAAATAGAAGTATGGGCTATACAAATGTGAAGTGATTTCTGTGCATCGCAGTGATTAGTATAATTTTACATGATGGTCAACTTCTGAAATAAGACAAACGATTGTTTAAAGACATAAAGAAGTAAAACAAAATACCTGGGCAGATTAATGGGTAGCTAAATCCCAAATAACCAATAATTAGCTCAGGGAAACCAAAAGAAAGTACCACAAAATAAAAACAATGAAACTGTAAAATAAAAATACAGGAATTCTTGTTTGAGGCAGGGAGCCACAGAATGGCAGAAATTGTTAAGTAATGGTTTGGCAAAGTCTTTTTCTTGCTTGACTTGAGAAACTTCGTTGTTCTGTTCAATCAAGTCTACTACATCTGCAGGAGTAAATTCTGAAAAAGTCACTGGGATAGTACCAGGTACTTACCAGTCTCTTGAGTAGTGGTTTTCATGTACATCCAAGCAATATTATTGGGTGTTATATATATTTTTTAAATCTGTATTTCAGTTTTGAAAATTAAGGGTTAATCCAAGTAAATTTGCTTTCATTTTAGGACTTCTTAGAGACTTGGAACACTGTGCACTTTTGAACTCTAAGAAAGGGATTCAGTATACAATATCGTGTCCAGGAATTTAAAATATTTTACTTTTTACCACGGGACTCTATTTCCCACAATATATCTTTGAAGATTAGTGTTAAAAAGACCAGAGCAGTGATTCTCAATCTGGTTTTTTTTTTTTTTTT